AGAAGAACAGAGACAGCGAGAGAAGAACAGAGACAGCGAGAGAAGAAAAAAGCAAAAAGACAGGCGACTCCACATGAGTACGAAGTCAGTTGGTTGCTTAAAAGCCTGTGAAATTCAGTTTCAATAATTCAAAGCTGCATGTTGTACTAAAAAAGGTTTCAATTATTTAATACTGTGTATTAAGTAAGACTAAATAGGAATGTGTGGCTTAATGTTCACTAAAGATCTGAATAGAGAAGCTTGTATTTCAGAGTAAATGATAGCATGTTTTAGGAAATGAGTGTGCAGAAAGATACTCAAGGGTATTGATTAACATCTTTTGATAAAAGCACTGGTCATAATCAAAAATGCCATAGAAGAACACATCAGATTCTGGCTCGGCATTTGTGGCACTGAATTAAACAAAGAAGCAATTGGTGGAAGTATCTCCAGTTCTTCCGTTGGCCCTAAAGATACCTTTTATCCTCCAAAATCAAGTTTAGTCAAGAAAAAAGGTAATTAGCACAATAAGAATAGAAATTTCACATTGGTCACATTATTATTCAGAGTCAGGAAAAATCTCCCACCCTGCACGTCAATCCCAGCTCAACAAATCACCATCCAAATTAAGACTTCAAACTGGTCATCTTAAAACCTAGCATATACTGAAAATGGAGAAGCACATGTAAAATACTGTATTTGTTTAAAAATACAAGTCTGAAGTCTCAGTTTAAAATTGAGGGCAACAATGTGATTTTGTACACATTGATTTGAGGCTTAACAGTTTAGAGCTTGGGAGTTTCCCTGTTTTTTTTGGGTTGGGGGTGGGGGGCGGGGGGGGCGGTGGTGAGGTGGGAGGTTGTGTGTTGGAGGAATCTGAGATTAACGCTCCACCACCCCAGAATAAGTAGTCAACCATTTTAGAACCAAGCTGACGGGAAATATCTCCCACCCCCAGAAGTTTGTAGATCTTTGAAATTCTCTATCACAACCACAGATTAAGGTGTACAAAGAGAAAGCTAATTGCCCATCATGCCTGCACTAGTTCTATTACTTAGTGCCAATCTCCTGCCTTTTGCTCCCCCATGTCCTGTACAGCAATTTTATTCGAGGAATTATTCAATGCCTTCTGAACCCGCCTCCATCACGTTTCCAGGCAGTGCATTCCATACCCTAATTCCTCAGTGTAAATAAAAAGTTTCTCATCACCCTTGCTTCAGTCACATATCACTTTAAAATCTTATAGCCCCGATTCTTTTTTCTTTTCAGCTTCTCCCTATTTACCCTGCTCAAATCTCCTCTAAGCCTTCTTCACTTCAAGGAAAACAATTCCAAATTCTTCAATCTATCCTCATAACAACATTTTCATTCCTAGAATCATTTTGCACATCACCTCTGCACTCTCTCCAATGCATTCACATCTTTCTTATCATGTGGCATCCACAACTGTACATAATACTGCAGGTGAGGTCAAACAAGCACCTTGTACAAGGTCAACATTACTTGCTTGCTACTATACTCTTTGCCCCTACAACTGCTGAGAACATGAGACTATTAACTGCTCTTCACCTGTCCTGCCATCTTCAATGATTTGTACAAATACACTTGGATCCCTCTACTCCTGCATTCTATTTAGAACTGTACTGCCTATTTTATATTGTCTTTCAATATTCTTCCAAAGTGCATTACCGCACAATTTTGTGCATTGAACGTTATTGCCACCTAACTACCCAGTCCACCAACTTGTCAATGTCCTTTTAGAGGTCCATACTGTCCTCCTCACAATTTACAATTCATCCAAGTTTTGTGTCATTTGCGTACTTTGCAACTGTCCTCTGCACACCAAGATCCAGATCATCAATATATAGTCAAAAGCAAGAGTCCCAAAACTGACTCATGGGAACTCCAATACAAACTTTTACACAGCCCAAAAAATATCCACTGATCTCAGTTTCTGGTCATTCAGCCAATTTCATATTCACAAGGCCACAGTCCCTGTTAAACCATATAAACTTTCCTCAAATCTATTACATTGTACTGCATCAAATGCCTTCTGGAAATCCATGTATACCACATCAGCAGCATTACCTTCATTGAACATTTCTGCTACCTCTTCAAAAAAAGTCTCCAGCTAGTTAGTTAAACAGGATCTCCCTTTAGAAATCCTTGCCAACTCTTGCTAATCACACCCCATTTTCCACGTGAATACTAATACTATCCTGAACAATTGTTTCTAGAAGTCTTCCCTAGATTATGGACTCTTAGCAATTGAGTAGAAAGTATACAAAACTCTATCCATCACTAAGGGAATTAAGGCACATGTGTAGTACAGGAAGACGAAGTTAAGGTAGATCTTCATGAACAGTACAGCAGGTTCAGAAAGGGCCTATTTCTGCTCTGATATCTTAGGCAAAAACTCATTACAGATAGCACAGTGCCTTAAATGTTGCTGCTCATTTTTTTTGCAAGTAAAAGCAAGAGGTTATATGAAAACAAGTCAAATCCTGAATTGGTCATTGCGGCCAAAATCTCAAAAATTACAGAGCTCACCAAATGCTGACCTGCGCTTGGAGCAAGGCTGTTTACCACTTCTATTCTGTCAAAATAGATCATGACACCACCACTACAAAGAAAGAAAGCAAACATTAAACATTAATTATTTTTGTAAAACATGGAAGTCTTAAAAAAGATCACGTACCTAAACAACTGAAAATCTCTGATTTGCTAACAAAATAATTTTTTAAGTGTCAATGAAGTACAAAATATTAAAAAAAGTACCTGCATGAAAACTCTCAAGGTAAACCACACAGGAGGGAGAAGTAATGGTTCATGAAACCTAATCCAGATCCACCTGCTTGCTTGATTAGCTTCAAATAAACAAGCTGATGACATCACATTTCCCAATTATACCATACACTACCTGGTTAACATGCTTAGGACCTGAGCGCAGGTGCAGATTGTTTACCACTTCAAAATAAAATTCAGTTTATTTTTAATTGACAAATTGGTAGAATATGGTCAGTAGGATATGGTTCCAAAGTTGCACCATTTAAAATTACATTCAATCTTAGCTAAATTGCACTAATCATTTAATGCTCATTACATGACTGCACATTGGAGATACAAGTCTGGGGTTTGCATCCAAAAAAGCTCATGCAGTAAGTTGCAAGTCTTATTGAAAGTTATTTCCAGACAAAATAAATAGCACAAAAAAATCTGAAATCCTTCCTTCTCCAGTTTATCTAATGCACAAAGTCCAAAAGCAGGTTATTGCACAGTAGCACATGTGCAGTAGCATAAACAGAACAGAAAATCGCCGATCTGGCCTCTTGATTAGGTACAACGTCCTCGGAGTTGTTAAGCCATACAAAATGTTTTTCTCCAAAGTGAAATACTATAACCGCAGTCAATTAAATTAAAAATGACAGCAAGATCCCCAAATTATCAAATCTTAAATAAAACTCAATTACTGAAAATCATTAAACTGAAAACTAAAAAAGTGGTACAGGAAACAACTAGGAAAAAGTTTAAAAAGTAACAAAAATCCACCTACTAAATCAACTATGTTAGCTTACCTTGTTCCACAAGGCACATTTTTCACTTCATCTGTTTGCAAAGTTGTCTGAAACAAAAAGAATTTGATGACAAACTTCAAACATCATGAATTTTCTCTTCCTCAGCAAAATACATGGCTCAGTAGACAATGAAGAAGATGGAAGTTTTAATATTGCAATGCATCACGATAACTTCAACTTCCGAATGGCCTACTCCTGCACCTATTTTCTAGATTTTTAACACCTCTCCTGTGCTTACAATTAGACTAACAATAAAGTTTCATATGGACTGAAAGCTGCATCTTTGTCAAACTTCTTTGGGTTTAAATTATACTCAAGCTCAATTCATTAATATCGCAATTCAGTAAACATAAACACACAAAAAGGAAAACGTTAAATACTGAAGTGTCTAGGAGATATATCTGGCACATGATAATAGGCACAAGTTTGCAATCAATGCTACTTTTGAAACCACTTTTTCCACTATCTCTGTCCACAATTGCTACACGTTTCAATATTAAGCATTCTTAGCTGCTCTTTTGAATGCCGCGTGTTTATATGAAAGTTCTTGTATTGATCTCTGGAGTGGGCAAAGTAAACTGTGGCAATAGAGATAATGGGCTAAGTCTGACCAATACTGGCTCTCAATTTTTGGCCACTTAATAGATGGCGCTTCTTCATGACTATTAGCAGGTTTTCTCCCACTATCTTCCCAAACTTGCCTCATTTCCATGCACCACACCCACCATGGTGCACTGCTTGTCAAATTCTCCGACTTGCGGAAGTGCTAGCCACTGCCAGGACCTGCCAGGCTTTCTGGTGCTGCACCAACTTTAAAGGCCAGCTGTGTAACAGTCAGGCACTTGCAGTGTGCAAGTGTCCTGTGATATTCCAGTCAACTGCTCCAGAGGGTAATTGGCACTCTGTTTTGCCAATGGGAACCTGGAGGTCCAGGTGGACAGGGGTGCATGCAGTCTTTACTCAGGGAATAGGCCCCCAGAAGTTGGCAATTAATGAAAGCCCAGACAAAGGAGGAGTGGCGAACTGCAGGAGCCAGGTTAACACTGACTTTCACATTGGGCATTGTCGTCGTCTAGTTTCTAATCATTGAGTAGGAGAATAGGAAACTGCAAACCAATGAACTGTGATAACAGAATAATAAGAATGTTAAAAGATGCTAATGCATACAAATAGACCTCTTACCACTCACTAGCAAGACTCTTGTCTTGCTGTTCAGCACTCCATTGGAAAATGGGACTTCTGCTCTCAACATTGGGAAGCACCTTACTGCCAATCTTACACAATTCTCTCAACTTTCTCACTACTGATAATATTATGCCTGGGAAGATTTCATCCATGCATTTTGACTAGTTATTAACCACTGTCAATGGTCTTCTAAATTGACTTAGAATAACTATGAGGGACTATTCACAACTTTTTTAATCACACCAAGGAGGCTTCAGGAAGAAAGTACTGTAGGAAGTCACAATGGCAGTACAATTCTAGAAGTCAATGCAGAACGTGAATCAGGCAAATTACAACTGCATTCTACCTTGTATTTATTGGCAACTTCAATGAGAATTGCTAACCTGAACAGATCTGAAGGTAGTAATAAAGGGTATCATGATGTGGTATCCTGGGAAACTTGGACTGGCCAACAAAGCACCACCTCTAAAGAAGAAAAAAATAATTAAACACATTTCAACAAAATTAAACTCAAACAGCATCACATTGAACATGATATTGCAAGCAATGTTGATCAGCCATGTGTACAGAATACAACAGGTTGTTACCCAAATTTCAGTTAAACTCCATACTGAACCTGGAGGCAAGATGATTAATTTACAGTGCAGAATTTGACCCAACAAGTCTATACTCCGGACAAGCTCCTTCTCATCTTATTTCACCTCCCCATTAATGAGTGAGCCATGGCTCAGCTGACAGCACTCTTGTCAAAGTCAGAAAGCTGCAGGTTCAAGTCAAACTGCAGGACCTGAGCAGAATGATCAAAGCTGAAACTGTGCCACACTGAGGCAGTGCTGCAATATTGCAGATGCTGTCTTCCAAATGAGGGGTTAAAAAGAGGTCCCATTTGCTCTGAAATGAACAGAAAAGTTTCACTGCCGCTACTTCAAAGAACACAAATGCTATCTTTAGTTTTTTGGTTAATATTTCTCAAACAATATAAAAACATTGCTGTTTGAGTATTTGCTGTGTACAAGTGATTGACATCATTTCTTACATTTCAACAGTAGCAACATTTCAAAAATGTACTTCATTTATAAAGACGGAGATACATCTGATCATGAAAAGGTACAATATAAATGCTCATTATTCTTTGCTTCGTTAAGTTAAATGATGTAATAACTACTTCAACTGCAAGAAAGACAGCATGGAATTTGCAGCATTTTTGTCCTTGGCTTGGAGCAATGTTACATTAAAAAAAGGTAATTAATAGTTAATGCAGTGGTGACATGTTTGAAACTGTGCATAGCACAACATTAAGGCATGTTGGCTTGTGTAATTACCCTCTACAGAACAGGGCTAGGAAACCAAAGTGTTCATGGCAGAACAATAAATTGTAAATCTACAAGAAATTTTAAATCTAGTGTTTTGCAATATTCCCACCATATGCTGTCCATAAAAATGTGGATGGTATTCATCACATCATTTCTTATCACTAACTCCCAATCCTGTTTTTTTTTTTAAATGGCCTTGCAAACTGTTTCTACCTCTCAGATTTTAACTTCCATCTCCCTCAAACTTCATATTTTTCCAATTCCTCTTTACCCATAACTTCTTCCCCCAACTCCTCTCATATGCTGGAATTCTCTCTTTTTTTCCCTTTGATCTCCATCATTACTCGCATTTCCACCTCTGGTTCCGCAATATAAATTCCCTCTCTAACAAGGGGACCAGAAGTGATCTTTGCTTCCCAAAGCAGAGTTGCATCTTGACCAAACATTATTCGTTGAGGCTCCAAACCAGTCAATGGTTTTAAGCTGTGTAAATGTGGGACCCATACAGACCCAGTTGATATGGAGATATATTTAGGCCGAGTAGATGAATCGATAATACATTTCGGACATTAACATTCCTACTCCACTGCGGAAAGACACGGAGAATCTAGTAAATAAAATAGCAACCCAAATTACAGACATTTCCCAATGGTTCTATTCATGGCAAGTAAACACCAGAACTCAGACATTTCAACACCCATGATGAAGAAGAGTCATCTAGACTCAAAATGTTAGCTTACTCTCTCTCCATGGATGTCGCCTGACCCACTACGATTTCCAGCAATTTTTGTTTTTGGTACAGATTCCAGCATGGTTTAAAAGGCTGTTGGCGTGCTTGCCTTCATTGCTCAGTCCTTTGAGCATAGGAGTTGGGACGTGATGTTGAGGTTGCACAGGACATTGGTGAGGCCTCTTCTGGAATACTGTATCCAGTTCTGGTTGCCCAGTTATAGGAAGGATGTTATCAAGCTGGAGAGGGTTCAGAAGAGATTTATCAGGATCTTGCTGGGCATGGAAGGTTTGAGTTATGAGGAAAGGCTGGGACCTTTTTCACTGGAGAGTGGGAGGTTGAGAGATGACCAGAGAGAAGTTTATAAAATGAGAGTTGTAGATAGAGTTGATGGGAGTTGTCTCTTCCCTGAGACGGGGAATTTCAAGACTAGGGGACACATTTTTAAGGTGAGAGGAGAGAGAGATTTAAAAAAAAGACAAAAAAGTGGCAATTTTTTTTTTTTTTTTTACACGAGAAGGGTCACCTGGATGCAGGTACAATTACAACATTTATAAGACATTTGGGTAGATATATGAATGGGAAAGGTTTGGAGGGAGATAGGCCAGAAGCAGCTAGGTGGGACTAGCTTGATTTGGGGTTGTGGTCGGCATGGACTGGTTGGACCTTAGGGTCGATTTCCGTGCTCTATGACTGTATCTGCAGTAATTTGCTCCCACATTTCAACACCCATGATGTTCAGCTTTAAATAAAAAGTTGTTTTCCTGAAGCTACAAGTTTCAGTGTTGACAAACCAAGTAGACATCAAGTACGATTCAAAAAATAATGAAAAAAGAACTACCATTTGTAAGGCACAAAGTGCAAGATCAGCTTGTACAACTCCTACAAAATGCACCGTGTTTGGAGCTATCATCCTGATGGCAAATGCAATCAGCAAGGTCATCCAAGATGCTCTAGTCTGTTCAAGTTGTATAAGGTGGGTTATACATAGTTTCTGAAATATCAACAGTCCAATTTCGGAAAAAGACTGCACTCACAATTACTGATAGGCACCATTATCTTGCAAGCACCAGTGACTGATTAAACCTTTAATTAGTTTTGCCCAAGTGACAAAATATCAATTAATCCATGCAAAAATCAAAAGGGACAAACAAAACGGTGAAGCTTCAAAAAAATCCAAGTCCTAACTTAATTTGTGATGTCTGGAGTTACCAATCATTCTTATGGCAAAGAGAGGTTAAGAGGTTAAAAAATTGAGTAAACACTGAAAATTGAAATATTCAAAAGCTCCCCCGGAGAATAATTCGCAATTACTATTTTATTTTTCCTGCTTCAAGGAAGCAAAGCTTTGTGGAGGTTTAATAACTGGTCTCTAAAACTTGATAGTTTTAAAATAAACTTCAAGAAACTTCAAGAAAACGGACACTGGATCAATGAACAAACCCATTCATGAAAGGTATGAATCAAAAAATACTTCATGTTGTAAAATGGTTAGTAAACTTAAATTATGGCTGAAAACAAATAATGTGCCTCTGTCCAATGAAATGGGTTACATTTTCTAGAGTCATAAATTCACTTCTGGCCGGGAGCAAAGAATAAATAAATAAAGCTGCATTTTTAGGTATTTTCTAATCAACCTGTTCAGCGATGTTGTTCTACACCTTTGGAGCAGGTGGGACCTGAACCTGGACCTTTTGGTAGGGACACTACCACTTCACTACAAGACCCTTGAGCTGCATTTTTAAATACCCCACAAAACACACGTGATTCATACATTATCTTGTCATTGTCAGTATCAACCACCATCTACAGATCAGAACAAATGTGTCCCAGTTATAATCAACTTTCAACAGTCAAAAAGATAGGCATTTCACATAAAAGGTTTTTGTTTTAAATGTAAATAGTTAACAGTTTTATAAAGACAAGTGAAATCAACAAAACAAGAACTGTTTCAAGACATAATTCATTCACCAATTTTCCAAGCACAAGCATATAGCTTGATACTTCCTTTAGTATTACAAAGTCTATACAAATTAAAGCGCTTGCATATGTATCTGCATATTTACTTGATGTAATCTAACAAAGGATGAAATGACCAAAAGTAAGTTTCCAAAGTGAAGGTGACTATATTAGGGAAACCTCAGCACTTGGGATTTCAAGTGCATCCCATTTAATGCAGGGCAATAGCATAAAGGAATTGTTACTGGGCTAGTAATCCAGAGATTTCCTTTTAAGCTTTATGGCAATCTAACAGTGAATGGTCTTATCAGGTTCATTAACGTCCTTCATTGAAGCAAATGTACCATCCTTACTTGGATAGCCTACACAGAGCTCCAGACTTGCTCAAACTACCCTCATAGCTGTATTAAACTGCATGGATGGTGGACATCAACGCCCATTACCAGTGAGTAACTCAGCAGCATTAAAACGGACCAAGATGGCAACTCTTCAAAGGTTGATCTGGCAGACTAGACCTGCAGGTGGAGTGGGAATCATCAAAAGGAAAGAACTTATTTTCCCCTATCCTAACCAACCTACCTATCACAGAAGCATTATCCATGACAATACTGGTAGGAGTGACCACTGCACAGACCTTACAGAGATGAAGTCCCATTTCCACATTACTGACCATAGTGCCTCACGGAACAATCATAGGAGCTAAACAGGATAGATTTAGAATGGATACAGCAGCAGAACCATATTCAACCATGATCAGTAACCTCATTGCCTGGTACATCTTTTGCTTTACTCAAAAGATCAATCTTCAGACAAAAATGCATCAGGTTGAAGCCCTAACTCTCGTTCTCTCTCCACAGGAGGCTGCCAGACCTGCTGAATTTTCCAGCAACGTGTGTTTATTTCAGATTTCCATACTCACCAGTATTCTGCTTATCTTTCAGGCAGGAATCAACCATGGTTCAAAGAAGAGTACAGTACATGGATGGCAGCACAAAGCATAACTAAAAGCAAAGTAGCAACCTGTAGGAGCTACGACACAGGACGACATGCAAGCTGAGCAATCTCAATACCATAGGCAACCAAATCAAAGCCCTATGGTCCTCAAAATAAGAGCTCCCCTCAGAACTAAAACCATGAAGCTATTTGGCTCTGTTAGAATCCAAATTCACAAAGGATAGTACACTTTCATCAGAATAAAACATTTAAATAAGTTGATCTACTTGCACTTCCTCAAATCGGCTCCTATTACAATAATTTTAATACCTGTAGTAAATGCCAAGGTGACCCTCTTCAATCTTGTGTATGGAAGAGTAAAGAAAGAAGGCCACAACTCCAGTTAATGCAGCCACAATTGCTCCAACATGGGTCATGGTCATCCTGTCTTTCCTGTAAAAAATGGGATGGAAGATTAGATGATGAAACAGGGTTACGTACAAAAAAAGTTACACAATTGTGGTGTGATATACAAGTTGGTACATACTTCCCCAAAAATGAACACAGAATATTCAGAAAATAATATTTATTGGAGAAGTCATTGTCTATCACAACTTTACAACAGTTCAGTGGCTCAAGATTCTGACATTTGATTAATTACCAATATATGTAGCAAAAATCTGATTTCTACTCATAAGAATAGATATAGAGCTAGCACCTTTAACAAATAAAGAGAAGCAGTAGAGTTTTGTGCTTAATCATCTCGAAACCATCAATATTAAACTTAATTTCAGTATTGTAACATTCTTTGAACTTCAATTTCGTTGCAGCACCAGCTTCTTGTGAAGCTTTGTTCAGACCAATCTATAAAAGACATGAGCAAAGGTTTTAACTTTGCCAAGAGATCTCTGCACCTTTATCCTTTTTGAATCTGATCCAGTTTCAGGAATCCAAGCTTTTCTTTTTAGGCTAATTACACGTAGTCAATTTCAAACCAACTTTCTAGTTTCTCAATCTTCATCAGATGCAAGAGCACAATACTCACTCGGAAATCTGAACAAAAGGGGAGAATAAGAAAGATTCTACTGCTGTAAAAATTACCAGCAAGTTATTTCATAAAGCAAAGCCTGAAATTGAGCAGGATAGCTTTACGGATTTCTTTTCTGCTGGACCGAACCATAAATTACTACATTTGAAGAGAAACTTGGTGGTATAGTTATCTAAGAATACAAAGGAATCTTGATCAATTGGGCCAATGGGCTGAGGAATGATAGATGGAGTTTAATTTGCATAAATGCAAGATATTGCATTTTGCTAAAACAAACAAGGCCCCGGGTAGTGCTGCCCAACAGATAGACCTAAGGGTTCAAGTACATAGCTCTGAAAGTTGTGTCAAAGTAAACAGGGTGGTTAAGGCGGCATTTATCACTCTTGACTTAATTGTTCAGACCACTGATAAAGGAGTTGGGACATCATGTTGAGGGCATACAAGACGTTGGCGAGGCCACTTTGGAGAATAGTGTACAGTTTCGGTTACCCTGCTATACGAAGGATAATATTAAATTAGAGAGGGTTCAGAAAAAATTTACCAAGATCTTGCTGGAAATGGAGGATTTGAGTTATTAGGAGAGGCTGGGACTCCTCTTTTTTCCCCGGGAACATAGGAGGTTGAGGGGTGACCTTACAGAGGTTTATAAAATTATAAAAGGGGAAAAGATAAGATGAATAGCTCAGGTCTTTTCCCAACGGTGGGGGGAGTTCAAAAAACTAGGCAGCATATTTTTAAGGTTTGAGGAGAATGATTTAAAACGGACCTGAGGGGCAACATTTTCACAGAGGACGGTTTGCATGTGGAATGAACTGCCAGAACAAGTAGTAGATATAGGTACAGTTACAACTTTTAAACAACATTTGGACGGCTACATGAGGAGGAAAAGGTTTGGAGGGATATGGCCAAATGCAGGCAAGTGGGACTAGTTTAGTTTGGGAAACTTGACATGGGCAAATTAGACCGCAGGGTCTGTTTCCGCCCTGTATGGATCAATGACACATCACAGAAGTTGTACATGCAGCAGTAAACACTTTTTCCCAATTATAAAGCAGTACAGATACAATACCAAATATTGCTAATAAAAATGAGAAACTATTCCCAAACATAATGCCTGATGTTAGTTCGAACATCATTGGTATCAAAGGTCATTGTATACGTTTTTAAAAACACTTTAAAACTCATTGTTTTCCCCAACCAGCAGTAGATCCAAAAATGAAATCCTAAACCTTCAATTCAGGTGGCACTTGGTTTTGCGTCAAACATTCTTACATTAATTCTTTACTTAATTACTCTAATATACTAATTTACTTTCAGGAATATACCATGATATTCAAGGCTCTAAAGCTTATAATAGGAGTCCTTAGTCTTCCAGCAGTAGTTCATGACCCTGGTTACGTGTTTGTGGTGGGGATTATCAACGTAGAATATTGTTTGCGAGTTTCGATATCAGAATTTGAACAAAAAGAAAAGAAAGAATCTACATATTACAGGTGAAGAGTCACAGTAAATAGTGTATTTTTAATTACTGAAGAAAGCCTGGTGTCGTTTGCTGTTATCGAGAGTAGCAGTCAGAGGCACGTTGGGATTTGTGGTATTTATTAAATCTTAATGTTTGTGACGACTCCGGGAATACTAGGGCTCGATTTTCAGGGCACTAAACCAGCGAGTTGGGAGAAAGTGTGGGGGCTTTTTGGCCAGGATATTTTAAACAAGGACAGTGTGGAGTTAGTGCAAGTACAACCAAAGATAAAAAGACAAAGACCAGTTTTTGCATTAAAGTAGTAAGATGCAGGTGGAATAGGAATCTCCATAGAACTTACAACCACCAAAGCCAAGTGAATTGGCAAGTAAGTTGGAAGTGGAATTGTCTGCCCAAGTTACAAAGCAGAAATGAAATACCTGCTTCCCATGTATTTCTTACCAAGCCCAATGCTGTCCTCGTGCTTCAGTTATTTCTGCTTCATTTAGCACAGCAGGAAAACACGTACTCCAAGTTGCAAGGTTAATATTGAATTACAGTTAAAGCAGCTCAAACATGAAAATGAAATGAAGCAGTTTGAGAAATTGGAGTTTGGGAAACTGGAGGAGAGGGTAAGCGAAGGGACAAAAGTAAGAGAGACAGAGAGAGAGGGGAGGGAGAGCAACAGAAACATTTCCTTTTTAAAATTCCTTTCTTTCTCATGAGAAGGGCATAGGTAATAGCAGCCTAAAATGACACCAATTTTTTGAAAAGACGCCAATGTAGGCTGTGAAAAAAATTTTCCTTACAATCTGAAGTCCATTGCAGTAATGCTTACATTTGTCCAAGTTCTACCAAAACTAAGAAAATGGATGCAGAGGCATTCTTTATAAAATTTCAGAAAAAAAAGAGATAAATTGTGTGGAGTTTGCATATTCTTCCTATGTCTGCGTGGTTTCCCTCTGGGTGCTCCAGTTCCCTCCCACAGTCCAAAGATATGCAGGCCAGGTGGATTGGCCATGCTCAATTACCCGGCAGTTTTCAGAGATGTGTAGATTAGGTGGGATGCTCCAAGGGTCAGTTTGGACATGTTGGGCCAAAGGGCCTGTTTCCACACTGTAGGGATTCTATAAAGATGAAATAAAGTGGCCAAAGAAAAAGTGGACATGACCCACGAAAAGCAAATTGACAGATGGAACACTTCAAATTTATGCTTCTATGTCAGAGCTTTCTCAGGATAATGATGCTATAAAAAAGCCAATTGGGGGTGCACACAAGTTAGTTCAAGAAGCATACAGCTAGATGCTTCAGAATTTAAGGAAGCAGCTTAAGCAAACAATTATATTCAAAAGGGTTAGACAAGTAATTTCGACAGGTGGATATAGGAGTAAATATCACCCAAGGCTGAAGAGTTTAAGGCTTTTAAAGATTTGGAATAGAAGTTTTGGTTGATGTAGAGGTGATGTTAGTAAACGGACAGGAAAGCTCTGATTGTGACAAAGAAAATCACTTGTGTTTGAAGCAAGGGATAAAATTACTAAATCTGAAGGCATAATCAAGGTATATGGAATGCATAAGCCTACCATTTAAAAAAATGGACAAAAGTTAGTTCAGTTAAAAGAATATGAAACAACTGTTCAGAGTTTTAAATCTTGAACGCTGCGCTCAGGAAATTGTGATTTTGCCTAATGTACAGGAGAACAAGGAAATGCAGACAAATTCTATAAGAACAAATAAACATCATATCATTGAACATCCTTCAAATCTTCACAGATGCATCATGTCTCAATCTCTCATACAGTGATCTGAAAATGACAACATTATGAAGTGATGGGGACACTAAGGGAATGCAGGTAGACTTTGAATCAACCAGAAGAGTGCAAAATGATTGTTGAGCCTCTTCCAACTAATTCTCCTCTAGAATCCAATTATAGATCGTTCAAGCTATAGTCAGGAAGCATCCATAATTCTCAGTATTTGGTGCAGGCTTTCAAGTGGTGACATTCTCTTTTGGTTCTGATGAAGAGGAGCAAGGCCAACTTGAAACACATCGAGTCTGAAGTGCAAAAAGTCAATGTTCAACCAGAATCAAACTCAGATCTGGAAACTGAAGCAACTAAGATTCAGATTCCTCACACTGCTTCTTGCATTGATCTTCAGTTCAATGTGCAGAAAATTTGAGATTTGGAAATAAATGGCCCGGAAATTTAAATGCTGTCGACTCAGACAATGGACAGTTCAGAACACCACCTAGAAACTGAGCCTCTGAAAATAGATTCCGAATCTGACATGATGGTTCAAAACACTAAATGTTGCAATGGAGTACTATTGTTTAACATTACTACTGATCAGAAACTTTAAACAATCAGCTTTCTCTTCCAGTCCGAGAAAGTGCACATTAGTGAAACAACTATGATAATACAAGCAACTGCAGCTGAAAGTAGAGAAATGGACCATAAAACAGACATGAGAAAACGTTTTAGCTCACACCTTAAGGATGACTTAATGGAAGCGGAAATTTATTTCAGAATCTGGGGAATAATTCAATGACTTTAAACTAAGGGAATTACCTTGCAGCCAGGTTAACTCTATAATTTTAAGACACTGCAGGAGATTCACTGAAATCAAATGCAATTGATTTTTCAGTCACAATTGAAGATATAGATAGTGCTTTTATCCTAAATTAATGTCACTTTTGAGTAAGCGTTCAAAGCTGACAAAAATTTGTGTTTCTGACAAATACTTTATGGAAAACTTCAATACCCAAAGTTCAGATGGAGTTCATTAATTCAACCATTCAATACAAAAATTGCGTACATTGCTGGAAAAGACGAGAGCAACAGATGCATTGTCTAGAATGTAAAAAGGATACAACTAAAGTTAAGAATTCAAAAAAAGGATCACAAAAAATGGTTAAAATACTGTACGAGATGAATGAGGATGAGCGGATGCAAGCTGTGTTTTTTATTATCTGTGGCATAAACATTGCAACAAAATGCTATTTTTTGAAATGTTGTATCATCCTTTAAAGGGTGGAAGTATGCAAGAGGCCACTTTCACTTTTGGTCTATGGACTAAAAATGAAAAATGGAAACTCCTTAAAAAAGGGCAGAATGTACAAAACATTGTTTGCAACTTGGAAAAACAAGTGAAGCCATCTGATCACTGAAACAACATTACGTTTTTGAACATTCGAGTCCAGATGATCTGGCACTATTTATTATGGGTTCAGGACAGCTCAACAGAGTAACAAGCTTCTGATTGGTCAAGTTGCAGCTTAACAGACTGCAGGAAATGAAATAGAAGCAAGGAAACCTCCAGAAGTTGGCTACATCAATCTCTCTTTTCCCTCCCACCTTTTTCTTTAAAAGATGTCACTTGTTTCAATATTCTGTCAAAAGAGTAAAACCACATGTGTTGATGCTGAAAGAACCCATGGACAACATGACCAACTAAGCAAGCAGTGAACTACAGATTGGTTAATCTTGTACAGATGTCACTGTGGCAAAGAATCACCAAGAATTATGAAATCAATCCATCTAGATTTGAGATTTGGACCAGTAATATAAATAAATAAATAAATAACTAAATAGTGTTACAATAAACAGCATTACGTTTTAATTACCGAAGAAAGCTTGGTGCGGTCCATTTTTCTCCTGGTGAACAGTCAAGAGACAAATTGGGATTTTTGCAACTTTCATTAAACTCTCACATTTGTGACAACTCTGGGAATTGTGGGGCTTGATTTCCAGTGCACTTTCCCAGGAAGTCGTCAAACTTCTCTCTGTTCCTTCTCTCTCCTAGCACATTGAAAAGGTCCAGAGGGAGAAAAAAATTCTTTCAAGAGTGAATGCAAAAATGCAGTAAATGCAGAAAAGCCAGACGCAAACAGCTGACATAACTCAAAGTAAAAACATGCTTATCTCTGAGCTGCCCTCCGGTATAGATGCCATTTGTTTCCAGATGTTGAAGTGTTTATCATCAAACTGTCATTAACAAAGGGGGAGCACCATGGCAGGCAACAAACTCTCAGAAGGAATTTTAATCTCTATCTGGTTGCCTGTAAGTACCATATGGAAGTTTAATATATTGCATTTGGTTTGGTTTGGATAGTGATAAAGTAAGCCCGCTAAGCAAAACATTGGGAATAACAGTATTAAATCTGGCTTCCTTATCCCAACATCACTGCCACACATACCAAAAATGTAATTTAAAATAGACCTTAATAAATAGCCAAAAGAATAGCTCCATTCTGTTGATAGCCACATACTGAGATGGAGTGGCTTGACTGCTCCATTGATCCTGAGAGTGATGGCGCCAGGAAAGCTCAAGGGTCACCCATGATGGCAAGGTTGGAGGGGAGGAACCAGACAAAGCATAATTGTAAACAAGTCCTCAATGCAAATTCAGGTGGAAGATATTCGTGTGATGGCGGATGAAGGTTGTGAATGTAGGGAGATTCCCCCAATCTAAGTTTTCTTACACTGGAACTAGATGTACCTTTTGTCAAGCACCACGTGTCTGCTGATGTGCAACAGCATTCCCATATTAAAAGATGTCCCACACAATGCGCGTACCTAGAGGATCTCAAGACCAAGGTCCAATTCCATACAAGGACCCACAGAACTCATGACCAGTCACGTGGAATTTCCTCGGTGGATAAATATACTCACTAGTGAGTGATTGCCCATGATGATGACAAATTATTGGCTCTAAATTCATCTCCAGCCTCAGAATGCCTTTGGTCAACAACAGCTTTTAATGTAGGCTAGCTCGAAATCAGAGACTGGCTTGGAGGGCCGAAGGGCCTGTTCCTGTGCTGTAATTTTCTTTGTTCTTTATTAATCAAATTTGTAGCTGATACCTGGCCAAGAGGGTTAGTGAACCAGAAAACAGCAGCTCAAATTACAGAACAAGCTAACTAAAATAACTCAGCGGACAGGACAAAGAGAGATTAAATTTTATACAGGAAGATTAACACTTAAAAGATGATACACTATGAATGGCTGATATAGCAAAGATGAAGTTGAAAAAGGCTGCTGTACACCATACACAAAATGGAAGTGCGCTAATACTGTAGATCATAAAAGAAAAAATGGCTTGCCATTATAAAGCACTTTGCAACTAATTAAGTACTTTATAAGTATAGTCACTGTTACAATATATGACACATAGCAGCCAAATAGCATCCAGCGATGTTCCACATAAATTATTGTGAAAATGCCCAGCTATACCTCACCGTTTACGTACTGGTTACGTACTGGCTAAGAGAAGTAACATTGTGGGATCTTGCACATTCACTGAATTATTCAGCCAAAACCAGAATGAAACAGGAGGTTTGATCACACTTTATAAAGCTTCGGTCAGGAAGCAGAACAAGAACTTTATTCAGTTCTCATCATTGAGACATTTACATCCTGAAGAAAATGAGCATGTTTCAATTATGAAGAAATTTGGAAATTTCAACTTTGAAAGTAAATGGGTGAGAGGGATTTTATAGGAAGTATGCAATATTGTAAACATTGCGGAAAAGGAAAATAACTAAAATCATAAGAATAGGACAATGGATCACAGCTTTAAATAAACAAAAGGCTATTTCAGGGCAAATCTCAAAATTACTCCATGAAGCAACTAACATATATAAAGGACTCAAGTGATTATTAACTTGCCTCCAAGTATGTATCTTTCTGAAACACTTCTTACAATCCCAGAACAAATAAACACATACTTCCATTTAAAATGAAGTTTGTTAAGATTGCTCGTATGGCAAATATTTACTTTCCGCTTACATCTTTGCAATTAGTAAAATATCAAAACACCCACCAAGTTTTCCTGATAATGCCCAAGAAAAGCCAAAAACAGTTTTAACAACTGGTGAACTTGTACTTACAACTCTGGCAATTGACAGCAAGCAAGGTGGGGGCTGGGGATCTGACTGAAGCATTGAGATGGACCTTACAAAAGCATACAGGATTTAGTAAAGCTAAAAAGGTTGATAGTGAAAGTTTGGAAGAAAGGTTACATAATATACAAGTTAGAAGAGGGGATATTCAAACACAATACTGGATAAAACTGCACCAATCCAGTACAGCTATGCCTGCAAGGAGTTTAAATGGATAGGCTAATGACAGGGGAAGGGATCAGCATAAACAAGAAACAGAAAAAAAATGCAGATTGTGCATGATATGGGTCAGAGTTCTGGCATTTGGCAGGAATGGAACTCAGAAAGAGTTGAGAAAGCAAGTTTCAGGGAAGATAGAGGGCAGAAAATTAGCCCAATTATGAATGTTTAAAAACAGGAATTTGAACAATAATCATTTAAATATTGTCTGACACGCAGACAGAAAAACATCCATGGTTAGAAATTTAAAAAGGGACTTTTGCCTGTCATGGAATTTTTCTATTTCTTCCCTCTGTCCCTTGCAGTGGATAGTTTCAAAATATAATGCATTTTTAAACAAAAGACAAGGACAACGTGAGGGTAGGGAGGGTGGGGGCAGGAAGGCTGAAATCGGGGGGGGGGGGGGGGGGGACGGGGGGGGGGAGGGGGGGGGGGGGGGGGGGGGAAATATGAGAGTGGGCATGAGGGTAGGAGGAGAGGGTGGTGGTGAGCGTGGGTGAGTAAGGATGGGGATGGAGGATAAGGGGGTGGGAGTTTGAGAATAAAGGGAATATGTGAGGGTGGGGAGAGAATGAGGATGAGGGTTAGGGTGAGGG